TATTTTTATGTGCTGTACTTGCATTGTAAATTGCGTTAAATATTGCTTCTATGATCGTTATTTAATTGAAAAATATGGTCTTATCGTTATAATCGAAGACAATTTCCGGACCATAATCCGGACTATCATCCGGACGATCATCCGATCCCAACCTGGTACACATTTTCTGGGTGCGTTATTCAATTCAAGTACCCTAGCCATGGCAAAAAATGTACGGGTCACGTGTTGATGATCATCCGATTTTATCCAATCAAAGTATCGACTTTTATTCTATCGAAATGTACTTTGTATATAACAATATAACTGTATATTTTTTTTATCCAAAGTCTATTACATTATGTATGAAAAATAAAATCCTTTTCTAGTTTATTTACACATTTGGAAGAATTAGGCCATAACAAACTTAATAAATCCGTTCTCATAACCCTGCCGGGTCGAAATTTACAAAACTCAAAAAATATGCTTACTATCCGGGTGAGTTTTTTTAAAAACTCTAAAAAATTTTATAAGTTATTTATATATATAATTTTTTGAAAATAAAACCCGGATTGCCGGTCACTTTTAAAAATTTTATGTTATGAGAACCGATTAATTAAGTTTGTATGGCATTATTAGTTAAATCTTTCAACTAAAAATACAAATTTTGCACTGTAACTTGGTTTTTTGAATTTTTATTGATCTATTCGTAAATTCAGAGCCATAATTTTAATTTTATACATTTAATTAAGAATCATAAAAATGTATGGCATTAAATTTTTTATAAAATATAATGTATAGTTTTAATTTACGAACATCACGATAAAACGGGTTAAAGTTTAATACAAATTAAGAGAAAACAGTTGTAATATAATTTTTATTTTTAAATTACACTAGTATGTCAATTCTGCTGATTTTTGATGATAAATGAATTATATTCATTCAATTTCTTTCTTAACGATATGTTCCACCTGCGTGTTCCATCTTAGCTGCTTTTTTGAAATAAATCAATGCACTATTATTTTTTTCAATTCCAATTTCATTAAAGTAATAATTTCCAACATTGTATGTTCCCTCAGCATTTCCTATTTTTGCTGATTTCTGATAATATATGAATTAACCTCATTAAAAAATTAAAAGTCGAACATTAAATATTTTTGACAATATTCGATTATTATATATAAAACCAAAAATCATAAACTGCCCATTCTTGTTTGGTTTACATCGCTAGTTTTTACCAATAACCAACAGACTAGGATATTATAATTGCTATGCACAAATAAATATGTAATAAATAAAACCTATATGATTTCAGTTTAGGCGTATGTAAATATAAATCGCATTAAATCAAATCAGGAAATTCTAGTCTAAACAAACCAAGAGCGCAGATTCCGTTACTTTAGAGTAACTAAAATTGAAAGAACCAACGGTTGTAATTAGTGAAGTTGACTTTTAATAAATAAATTAATTAAAACAAATTAATTTTTTAATTAATTAAACCTAATTTTTTAATTAATTAAAAAATTATATCGTTACTTAATACTTTTGTCTCCAATGCATTTAAATTTCTAAAATGCGGCAAATGATTATAATTAGTAAAAAGACTTCTAATTAAAATCTAAAAATAAATTAAAAACAAACCGTGCTACTATTGAATGCTTACATGTCTTTAATAGATTTGAATCCCTAAAAACTGTTGCGATAAATGTGAAGATTTTTAATTAAAATTACTAAAAATAAATAAATCAATTAAAATTCATTAAAAAAATATCGTTACTTAATACTTACACATTTTCAATACATTTGGATTTCTAAAAATTATTAAACAATATAATAAATTATGAGTAATGTATATTTTAAATACAATCCAAAAATTGTAATTAATCGTTGATTAATATAATTCTATATCGCCTATGCTTTGGTTGGTTAAAATTACAAATGCTTAAAAAATAATAATTAAAAAGTTCAATCGCTAAATGTAATGTAACAATAACTATTGAGAAAGATACATAACCAGAAAGGCCAGCATATTAACTATTATTGTAAAATAAGAAGCGGAATAGTCAGCTTAGAATATTTTTTTGTTTGGTTTGAAATGATTGATATGTACCACGATCAGTATAATCGTACCAATAGTAAAAAGGTAGTTTAGCATTTTCGTTATAAGGGTAAATTGATTCCTTGCAAACGCATACTTCCATTTGAAGTTCATCTAGTGAACAATATTGTTGTTAGCATTATTATATGCTTTGCCATAAAATTATATGTAAAATTATAAGATAGTTTTTTGTATAAATAAAGTGATTTTTCGCATGCTAGATTTGTGAAGTAAAATCGAAAGTTTCTTACCTATTAAATAGATCAACTATATCGTTGTTAATTAAAAGTTATTTCTTCACTGGATACTATTGCAAGTAATAAACCCATAGCATAACAAAACATAGTATTAATAAACTTCATATTTCAAGCTTCGTTCAAAATTGATTTTTTCATTATTATTCCATAGCGATATACTTATCACAATCACATAGCCCTAATACTAGTGAAATTTAGCTATTTTAATAAAATGAACGCTGATAACATGTCCCAAGGTAAGAGTCAATAAGTATAAAATCTGTTAAAACAAATTTGTCTATTACTAACTATAAGTTTTTTTTTTAAAAAAAAAAACAGAAACCTCAACCCAAAATATTGAAATAACATGCAGCACCTGCAAAACTAAAAGAATTGCTGCGAATTTCTATCATATTTCTGGTGGCAAACTATGTTTGCATGCTATATGTAACCAATGTTCTGCAAGATTAAAAAATCAATGAAAAGAAAAAAAAGCATCCTCGTCACAAAAAAAATCAAAACTTGAAGTAGTTCAAGACGAAAATACCTTAACTAATCCCGGTATTAATGAAGATCCAGAAAACATGAACTTATTTTCTGAAAGTTTAATTGGGCACCAGGAAACGTTGCAGCATGAAAATGATGATCTGGATTAGTGATGCCTGACGAAACCATGTGATGCTAATTGTCACGTGGTACAATATATAAAAATCAACAATCTATTTAGTTTTTTTTATAAGTAATGGCATGTGACAATTAGCATCACATGGTTTCGTCAGGCATCACTAATCTGGATGAATATGAAAATCAGGATGAAGATCATGATGATAATGATGATCCAAAGGTATTACGGTATGATTTGGATGAAATGTATGAAGTTACATCTAAATATTCGAATAAAAAGAAACACTAAATGAGGCTGTAAATTTTGCTTATGAGATTGAAATAGACCAAGATCTTCTTGTTACTGCTTCCTTGACTCAATCGGATTTAATTAATAATAATGATTTAAAGACAATAGAAGATAACTTTCGTAAACTTGCCCATATGCTTATCGTGTCGCTTGAGTCAGGTTCTGGCTATTATTGGGAGGTACGCAATATATATTTAAATACCTGGAAAAAATCATTTTCAGGCTCTGCAACTATATATCTCGGCTGCACAATGCGAGAAGACCGTGCCTAGAAAAGATCAGATAATCAGCCACCTCAAAGAATAAGTAAAACCCACGTACCGATAGAAAGGTATAACTGTGTAGGAAATATAAAGCTTACTATAATACCAAAAGAGCAATATATTTTAGTTAAAGGACATCACAATGTGGCACATAAAAAGCCAACCTACCGACAAGTAAAGTTTCTTGTTGAAGCTAAAGAATGGATTAGAAACAACATTTCATTTAATATGAGATATACTGAAATGCATTGTCGGCTCCATATAAGCAATCTCATAAATCCAAAAATTCACACACTTGAACAGGTGTACTATTAGATATATATATATAGTAAGAGTACATATATAATAAATGAGAGTAATTCACTTTTATTTGCCAAACAATATCTTGAACAGCCTAAATTTATAGAAAAAGTATTTAAAATTCTTAATTATCTTGAGAATGATCTTGTACGAACCTTAGGATTTTGACACCATTATTTAAACTTATTGCGTTGAAAACGCAACAGAAATTGTCATTGATTCAACATTTAAGACAAATCAAGAGAAGTTTGAATTATTTGTTGTAAATCTAAACTGTGGCGAGTATGGTATGCCAATAGCATATCTGTATCTTTCCACCTTAGATGGTACTGAGGAAGCAAGAAATAATCTAACTAATATTATAAAAACATGTGTTGAAGTGTTACGTATATTTTTTATTAGCCTTTGTAAGGAGGGGTTGCATCCCGTATTTGTATTAATAGATAAGGATGCAGGCGAAATATCATCAGTTAGTGAAGCTTGGTCATGGATAGTCAGCATTCAAATTTGTCATTGGCATATATTATATGCTATTGATAAAAAATTAAAAGAAAAAAAGTTAAAAACAAATATGTATTCCACAACTAAAGCACAAGAAGCACATAAAAAGTTTGAGTTCATCGATCCATTGTGGATTCACAATAGAACTAGATCCTTCTGCCCGGATAACTATATTAAAGAAATTTTAGATATGGTTAGAAAATATTTGTCCATACACCCACTAATCCCAGTTGCCAAAAATTATTATATGACATCAAGTGAAATCTATTATTTTTACATTCAAGAATTATACTAGTTTTGCCACTTACATAGTCTTGTTAGATTATGGGGATATTTGTGGTCAAACTTGTATAATGAAAAGGATTGAAAATTATTTACCTTGTTCTCATATCTACTAGCTATTCCTTTTGCTTGTATCACAATGATTACAGAAAGTCATTGGAGGGTCCTTAAATATAATTATAAATATAATTATAACTGACCAAAAATAGATCATCTCACTCAAATAGGGGTGTGGTGACTTAGTGAAGTGGTCAAGTTGTCACCCCCAAGTGGCAGGTCTAGAGTTCAATTCCTACCGGCGACAATTATTGAATATCAAAAACTTGTATATCTCTAATATGTCAACTTAATTGGGTATGCTAGGCATAACGGACGTTGTAATCTATGGTTATACCAATGATGATTAGAAGTACAAAGAAATTTGTATGCATAATATGACTCATGGAGCACCAATTAGGAAGAACCACTTGCAAATCCTGAGTATGGCATTTATCTGGTGTGATGGTGGGACTGATAAAGAAATGCAAACTGTACGATCAGTGCAAATATACAATAAGACCATATAAGGGTAATCTCCTATATATATAGAGTAGGACTGTTGTATAGTTATACTAATCAAACACAAACACATGTACACAAACACAAATAAGCACTATATGGACAATTAAGTTCTTCTAAAAAAACATTAATACAGTCGCCACTTTACTAAAAGATACATCCGTTGTAGTTAGTAAGGGGAATAGAGTATGGAGGCGGGCAGTAAAGCCTCTATATACGAAGGATCAAGATAATGATGGTCAGACCAAACATACATAGCAGACTATGGAATCCTTTGCAGCTGTGAAAACTGAGCTTAAAACAGCGAGCGACCCTTCAGAAGAACTTACATCCAAGTCATCATCAACATTATTAGATTCCTATGACTTGAAAATATACTATAACAAATTTCTTGCCTATTACAAACTTTTTCTACTAAGAGACCTACAAACTATTAACTCCTTTAAACAATATCTTATACAAAACAATGCTAAGAATCTCGCATGTTATTAACTGATTACTGTCAATAGTGACAAAACAGAAGCACATGTATATTTACCTCATGAATCTGAAATACTTCCTAATCACTATGT